GGTAGAATGCCAGGAAAACCTTGCTGAAAAGTAGATGAACAGCACTAGAAAACACGCATCAGAAAGCAATGTGGGGACTGTAAGAAAATCAGTAGCTGTGAGAATTTAATGTCCACATGGAAAAAGTGGCCAGCCCTGATTAGACTTGACCTTCACTTAAGGAATATGTCATAGTATTTCCACTATGTACAATTTATAATGTAGGCCATTTGCTTTTTGTCTTTTAATAGAACATGAAAATGGAAAGATGTAAAAACCAAGTAATTAGGTGATATTTGCCAGGTGACATGACGAAGCCTAGCTCTCTTGTACATGGAACATTTCAAGGTAAAGTGTGGAAGCACAAAGCTAAATTTCAGGAAAAACTTAAGGACAGACCTCAAGCTTCAGGGAATATACTTTTGCCTGAGGAGAAAATGAGGGAGGAATAGTGACAAACTGGGAAAAAATGACAAATTCTTGAACAATTACAGAAGACTTCCCAAGATTAAATTACCTTATCCCTAACATATTACAAACTTGCTCTTTATTTAATTTTATCCTCATCAGAAGTTTTCTGTATACATTTTTAAAATTAATATATTTTATATATATATATATATATTTGGTGGGTACATGTGACAATTTAATACGTTTGTATAATTTATAGAGATTAAATTGATCTGAGACCTGAAACCATGAAAATTCTAGATGATAACAGGAAAAACCCTTCTAGCCATTGGCTTAAGCAAAGACTACATGACCAAGAACCCAAAAGCAACAGGAATAGACTCAAATTCCTCACATGATCGTACCCAAGCACCAGTTTTACCACAGGATCTCATTCTTGTTTATTTTATTATAACAACACAATCATCTACCTTCCCTTTATTTGAAGGCAAAGTGGATGTACCCAAAGAAATGTCCAATGGCAAATGATGCCCTCTCTGCAAAGTCTCAGGAGCAGACAGCTGCCTAGAAAAACTCGACCACTGTCCACCCAAACATAATATGTGCTATGTACTCTTCATTGGCAGTATAACATTGGGTATTTTTTTTTATACTTTATTTAAAAGGTGCAATTGAATAGAACAATCTAGAGTTACAACTGGATGAGCTTTCCAAGGAGAACAACAGAAGATGAACATTCCGGGGTGGAGATGGCAGTGACCAGATAAGAGCAAAAATATCCTGACACTTTCTAAAGAAAGAGGTGTCTAGATGTTTACTGTCCTCCAGTCAATGGGTGAAGTCAACCCTAGAAGCTTATTTTTATTTCTTTTTTTGTGAATAGTGAACACCAGATTCCTCTCAGTTTAGTTTAGAGAACTGATCCTTTATCTTATTCTCGTTGCGACTCACTGATTGAATAGGTTCAGGACTTTCTCCTCTCCATTCTGTGTGGATGCGAATCAAACATCAGTTGGGAGCCAAACTGATATGGGCTAAGTTCTAGATCACTTAAGAAGGCTCTTGGCCAGTGTTGGAACAGGAACTGTGGATCTCTCTTCTCTCAGAAGGGTTGGGAACTTTTCCAAGTAGAAAATCTACATTGCTCTCCAATTTTTAGACCATTTGCCTTTTATGTGAGAATTTTTTAATATTCATAGATTTTTGCATATCTACATTACAGAGCTGTCTTTATCACATTATCTCAAAACTCCTCTGATACACATTTAAAAGGTTTTTTTAAATCATGGTGAAATATGTATAAGATTTACCCTTTTAACCATTGCAAGCACAATTTAGTGGCATTAAGTATATTCAAAAATGTTGTAACTATCACCACTATCCATTTCCAGAACTACTTCATCGTTCAAATAGAATCTCCACCCCTTAAACAATAATTCCTGATTCCCTCACTCCCTAGCCCCTGGCAACCACCGTTCGACTTTTTATCTCTGTGAATTTTTCAGTACTCTAGATTGTTGATATAAATGGAATTCTATAATATTTGTCCTTTTGTCTGGTTTAGTTCACTTAGCATAAAGTTTTCAAGGTTCATTCATGTTGTGGCATATACTAGCATTTCACTCTTAAGGCAAAATAATGTGTCATTGTATGTATATACCACATTTCATTTATCCTTTCATCCATGGATGGATATTTGGGTTGTTTCAACCTTTTAGCTATTGTGAGTAATGCTACTGTGAACATTAGCATACACATATGTGTTTGAATCCCTGCTTTCAGTTCCTTGGGATATATAGCCAAAAGTGGAATTGCTACATGATATGGTAATTCTATGTTAACTGTTTGAGGAGCTGGCTAACTGTTTTCTACAGTAGGTGTACCATTTCACTTTTCCACTAGCAATGCACAAGGGTTCCAATTTCTCCACATCCTTGACAACATTTGTTATTTTCTATTTTTTTGAAGAGTCATCCAATGAGTAGTAGCTCATTGTGGTTTTGGTTTGCATTTCCCTGATGATTAATGATGAGCATCTCTTCGTGTATTTATTCTTACACATCTTCTTTGCAGAAATATCTATTCAGGTCCTTCACCCATTTTTAAT